TGACCGAGCCAAGATCGCTGAGAAAGTTCTGCATGTGGAGTCTCCAGTGGAAGAGGCCAGAGTCGGAGTCTGTTCTCCCGAAAGCCTGTCCTACGAGAAGTTGTGACCACGAGCACCTTGGAACGCTTGGAAGGTGAAGTTGAAACCTCCCTCCAAGGAGTTCAAGATCGGTCAAGCTGTGAGGTGTCTCCGGGGCTCGAGGATAGTTTAGACATCTTTAGACACTTGAGGGAATTTACTCCTCTACCTTTGGGGCATCCTACCAATGCAAACTTGCAGGGCAAAACAAAGGAACCACCATAAACCACCCTTCTCGCCCTTCAGGCTAGGCCACACTTGCATTTCTTTGCCACGAGATAAAATTCTGAATCAAAGGCGACAAATATGATATTAGAGCTGAGGATGATGAGGTGCGACAGAAACTCAAGAATTGCATTAAATTGCCATCGGACAAACAGCTTGGAGCCTTGGAACTTGTTTGTATGCAACTCCCTGTGGCAACTGGCAGTACTTCACGCAACCCGTGTTTTCCGCATCACGATATTTTCGCATTTCATAGATGTGGAGGTCTTCCATGGAGAGTTTGCCATGAATACACAGTGTTGTAACCACTTTCCCGCCACATTTTGTTTGAAGCAGTCTAGGTCCGTCCAGGTAAGTGCCATCATGCCATCCCACAAAATTGTGCCTTTTGAACTTGCCTCCGATCCCAGGCATAGGGAACTTGATACACCCGTTCCATTGTCAAGTCTTCTCTGCCCTGCTGAGTGCTTTTATCTGGGCTCCCCATGTGTTCTAAAGGTCCGTTTTTGGGGTCCGTTCCCGTGCAGGTTGGGTGGACTGTTGAAGGCACCCCATTTGAATGGGAAACGTGGCCTGGTGCAACGACTGAGCACCCAGGACAGCATATCGCCTTGCAGAAATGGAAAATAAGATGGAAACCATGGAAATACCATGGAAATACCATGGAAATACCATGGAAATACCATGGAACCAAATGACACCAACTGTTTTTTCCACGTTTTTCCTACACCTTCCTAGATTTTGGCAACAGACGCAAGAGATCATAGACGGTTGACCATAAGGTCAACACACCTGTCTTGCAATGTTTTATTTCCTTTTCAAGGACCTTGCTTATCTCGGCTAAATCGTTGCTTGTCCGAACAGCAGCAATTTATTCCCCCAATAGTAAGCCCAATAGCATTTGAATGAAATTTGATAATGTTTTGAACAAGTTTGCTGGGTCAATTTGTTCCTCGACAATTGGACCTAATCCGGAGGACAATGATCGATGGGAGGTGGAGATCCGCCTTGATCGAGGTCAAAATTCCAGAGGGATTTCGACCCCCCAGGTCGTAAGGAATAAGCACTAGGATTTTCTGGGAAAAATTAATTAAACAAGATAAACAAGTGCATCCAAGTGCATCCAAGATATCCAAGGCGCTTAAGCAACAAGTTCATCACCTACAAAAACAGGGAAGATTCTCTCCCGGCGGGGAGCACACCAGGGCAGCAGAATCAGCCCTAGTGGCTCCTAGTGTCGCAGGTGTGCTCGAAGTGAAATCCATTCGCAGCGAGAACATCATCGCAGTCCCTCGCAATCAGGCAGTGCGTGGACTGCCTCTCCCTTGAATCACTCACCCCTACATAACTCGCATAACTACTTTCTGCACAACCCACAGAAAGCTCTGGGCGTAGACAACAAGCAGGACAACATGGGCAGGAGTGTTTTCAAATTACATGTAACATGATGCGTACCATACCAGAAACCAGTATTCATTTTAAGCAATATGCGATAACCGCCGAAAAAGCCTTGCAAAGCCACTTGGCCTTGCTACCCCTGCGGGAATTTCAGCCTTGGCCACGACTTCGTCCACTGTGTGCACTGTGTGCAGGCCGCAGAATGGCAGCTTGAAGAGGCTCGTTTTACCCAAGAGAGGCAAAAGCGCGAGAAGGCGAACGGGGAGGGTGTGGATGGCGGGGCAAAGGTCGAGGGGTGTCAGGTTTTGTTGAGAGCATTCCTGTGGTCAGTCCGAGATGCTTGTAGAATGTTAGAGAGTTGCAGAATCGCAAGCGCAATGAAGTCTATGAAGTCTGTGAGGAAAAGTTAATGTTTCGAGCCCGACTCTTATTGGTTTTGAGGATTGTGCTTGCGAACAAGCGCTTCTCAGCTGTGTTGGGCTGGACATGGAAATTTGCAGACGACGTCAGGAAGACAAACTATGGAATGAGGAGCAGGAGAAGTCCAAAAAGTTCAATACCTTCAGGACAGGATTCTGCGTCTGAGGCAGAGCACAACTATGTGTGACTTGTGAGCAGCCAAACCATGCCAAAACAGGGCAGTGTCTGAAACCTGCTTCTTTCGACGCCGAATCACTCCGCGAGTACTGAATGAAATTCGTGAAACCATGTGAAACCGAATCGGTATGTACTTGGCCAGGAATGTATGTGAGAAGACGCTCAATGCCCAGAAACCTGCTTCTTTCGACGCCGAATCACTCCGCGAGTACTGAATGAAATTCGTGAAACCATGTGAAACCGAATCGGTATGTACTTGGCCAGGAATGTATGTGAGAAGACGCTCAATGCCCAGGGCTTTCCCATTATGGACTCCTCCGAAGTGTGTGTGACTTTCGTGTTTCATGACATTTCATTCAAGAATATGAGGCATAGACAGGCCATCTCAAGACGCTGGCAACGCCTTTGTAAGTCAAACCAGTCCGAAATGGACATCCATCCAGTGTCCGACCTCTGCGGGAAAGGACTAGTCACAGAGAAAGTGTCAAAAGTGAGGACAATTTATCACAATCGTTTATCACATTTATATATATTTTTATCACATTTGTATCACATGATGCTTCCATTGGATTCCTAATAGTTCCACATCGTGTGCCTGCGCAGCGTCACAGGCCGAGATGAGTTGTTTGCCTTTGGACCACGAAGCCCTTGCGCTTTTGAGGCGCTTGCGGCCCCAGGAGGCCTTGCAAGTCCTGCAGCAGGCGCTGGCGATACTGGCGGACATTGAGTGGTTGTGACATGGTGTGACGGTCGCTATGTCCAAAGCAGACCTGCAACGACTGTTTTCTGTATATCTTAAGTCATCTTATCGATATCTTATCTAAGTATTCTTAGATGCTTTGGTATAGCGTCATTTCGGAGCCTTGATGTCCGGGTCTTTAGCCTTGAAGACTGACAACGAAGTTCCCACGGATTCCCACGGCCCCGGACAGGTGAGCATACAAGGGATTAACAACAACATGTCGAGCTACATCAAGATCAAGGCTCGAGATGATCGCCGGATCCACGGCTGATTGATCCATGGTGTCCATGGCTCCGCAGGTGAGATCGAAGCTGGGTGATCCAGACAACACCGATGAGGCCTGTTTTGGATGGCGCATGAAAGCAAAGCCTTAACAAGGTACCAAATCATCGACAGGGTTGAGCCCATTATAGGCAAATGTAGCCACAAGGCTGGAAATTGGCATAAATTAGCCGTATTACAGGTATATAATTGCACATAATGGTATACATAATTATACATACATATATAATTCATATAATTATATATACAATATATAATATTGTATATATAATTATATATTTATATATATGCAATATATATATACAATATATATATATATATAATATATTTATAATTGTAATATATATATATGTATTTCTGCATTCACCTGTAACATGTATTTACCATATGATTTCCCCCATTTACCCCTGAGATGTCGCCAGGATCCCAAGATGCCGCAGCCTGTCCCGGCGAAGACGGAGCCTCGACCTTCGGCGGCCACGCCAGCGCCAGCCACGCCGGAGCCAACGCCGGAGCCGGTGAAGCGGCCAGCGGAAGAGGCACTGGAGGACTGTGGACAGTGCCATATACGATGATAAGATATGATAAACGTTTTTTTAAACGGATAACCTATCAGATAAGTGTAAAATCCTAAAAGATCCTAGAAGCAACTATAGATAACTACATTAACTAAGATGAAAGTATGGATAGTATAGTTGATGATGAGCAGCAATACCAACAATGACAAGTGCTCCAGTCACATATCTCCAGACATCATTCAAGAACGGCAAGTCAAGACCCACCAAAGTGTGGGGAGTTCCATGAATGCCGTTTGCCGTACAATCACATCCACCATAGAATTAGCCGACAGATAATCTGTTTGAAGTACACCAGGAAGCCAACGAGGACGACTCTGAAGATGAGGACTTTGCACCTGGGCCGCCAGGGCTGCCATGGCCGTCTCTGTCCGTTTCAATTGAGGCACTTCGGCCATTGTGCGAACGTGGACCAGTGGACGACTGGAAGTTGTTGCAAAACTAAGGACCTCCTCCCAGAGGAGAAGGAGCCCACCTTGGGCTCTGGCTTTATAGAGGACTGATTCTATCCGATTCTATCGGATTCTGTGGCATTTCTGGTTGTAGATTGTTGTAAATGGTTGTAGATTGTTGGCTTCTGAAAGCCTCCTTCCGGTGTTTTGTAGTGTCAACATGCCAGGGTTCAGGTGTGCACAGGATGTGCTTAGGAGGCCATCGATCAGTGGTCAGGAAGAGCCCACAGAGAAGCAGCTGGAGGCGTTCGGCCGGTGGAAGCAAGAGGCGTGACTTGGAAATCAAATTCATGGTGAATTTGTGATTTTAAGTTATTTTCACAGATTTTCATTGAATTTCCATCAACAGCTTTGAATTTCGTTTTGACATTTTTGTTCTCCGATAGTACCTCAGACTTCTCCTGATGTCCCAGTATAGTTGCAAGCTGTAATTTGTATAATTGCGTATGTGAAGGGATGTGAAGGGACGTAGGGAGCTTCATCCAATCTTGAGCGAGCTGCAAAGATGCAAGCAGAATGGGAGAAAAGGTGCAAGTCTGAAATTGAACTTAATATAACTTAATCCATACAATTCCTACACCAATTTCTACACCATTCTACATCTTATCTGAAGATGGTTCGGGATGGTCCAGGATGGTCAGGCTGTTCGCATCTTAAAGCAACAGCGCTGAGGCAAGACTCCTTGGAGGCTGGGGATGTAAAGACTTCCCTGGAACGGCTGGGAACCCAAGATCTCCATAGATCTGACCAGAAGATACCAGAAGTGGCTTTCAAATTAGAGAGTCAGATGATGCGCAGTTGAAAGATGTTGAAAGTCTCTATTGCAACTTTGACTTGTTGAGGCTCACTGAAGTCATTGAGGGCGGGGGCGGCTCCGCTCTCATGCTGACGAAGAGAGGCCATCAAGTGCATAGATTTTTTTGGAATCGTTTGGAACCCAACATTTTCCCTGAGATCCTCTCCCTGTAGGTGAGCTCCTGTTGAAGGAGCGAAGGCCGTTGGCAGCCATCCAGGACTGCAAAACGACAGAGCTGAAGGCCGTAGTTGCTAGATCTTTCAAGACTCTTGCTCTAATCACTAATCCTTCATTTGTCAAAGCTTTGTAAGAGAAGAGCAGCAAATGTGTTGGCTATCGGAGACGAGAGAAGTTTATAGATCGGAAAGTGACTCTCGGCCAGCTGCAAGGGACATGAGCTGACTAATAGTAGACGACAGAAAGCAAGTGACGTAACTGAAAGCGGGAAGAGGGCAAAGATTTGCAAAGAAGAGCCTCCTGACCTTGGCATACAGACAATAGACTCACGTAGACTCCCATGCCGGGTCTGGACACAGTATTGGTACCTATTGGGAAAGACTAGACAATTGAGACTGGATTCATGAGTCCAGACATGGTGTGTATGGTTTACGGAAGGCCTACAGCTATAGATTGGCCAGGTTACAGGAACAAGCCTAAGCAGCAGCTGCACACAGATTTGAAGGAACTCACAACTTGCATACACCCCGGCAAGATAATCCAAGTTGGAACAAGTCACATGACACACGATGTCTCAAGCAATGTGACAAGTAATAGACTTTCGTTTGCAAAAGAGACACAGGAAAAGAGGCACAGGTGATGTTAACATCGCCACAGCGTGCTCAACTGTTTCGTCAGGACTGCTCTGCAGCCCTACAATTGAATCCGGATCTGGGCAAAGCCTACCGCGTCCGTGGCATCGCACATCGGAAGCTCGGGAAGTACAAAGTGGCCAAGTCCGACCTTGCACAGGCGAGACCATGGTGACCATGGTGACCAGGAATCAACTGCAGCGACTGCATGAACTGCATCAATCCTTGCTGGGACTTGAAGTCTGTACTTCCATTGCACGATTAGGATGATTAGGATGATTAGGATGATTAGGATGATTAGGATGATTAGGATGATTAGGATGATTGGGATGATTAGGATGATTGGGATGATTAGGATGATTGGGATATGCAATCGGACATGTATAAGTTGGGTAAGGTATCCTGGTTCTTTCCGTAGTTGGATGTTGGATGTTTGTCACTCCGAAGGCCCAAAACTTGGACTTTGATGAAGGCGTCAGCTTCATTGAGAAGTTTGTCAGCGAGAAGGTTTCTTGTGCACGGAGTGGGTGTCACTCCCTGGAATACACTGGAATATGGTGGAAAATGTATCTCCATGCGCATCCAATCATATCCAATCGTGTCTTTTTTTACAGTTGCAACTTAGCTTCTCCATGGTATAGTTCTGCCGAAGTCCGACGTTTTGTATCCACCTTGTTTTCGCGTTCCGGGCGCGAAGCTCACAGGTGCGCCTGGAGGAGCGACGCCGAAAGAGGCACCATTTGGGCAACCAACGGAATGTCCTGAAAATTTGGTGCCGATGATCTCCACTGATCTTCCCACTGGGAATAGAAGGGTAAGGTCACCTTGATGGTTTGGGATTCTTTGGATAGGGAACATACAGAAAAAACTCCGGCTGAAGAAAATATATCATGAGAACTGGGATCCAATGAAAAGTAGACAAAAAAGTAGCTGGTATCTCATGCTGTTCCTTGAGGGTTGATCAGCTCTGGTGAAATCAATCTCTCTCTCTCTCTCTCTTTCTCTCTCTCTCCAACCATTACTCATTACAACGATTACACTAGGATCCGAAGATATCCGAAGGCTCTTCATTTTTTGTTGGCTTCATATCCAGCCTCTCATGCCTTGAGCTTGCAGCTTCAGGCAGAAAACACAGTGACCCTTGCAGATGCCAGTGACTCCTCAGTGTCGCACAAAGTACACGAGATCTTTGGCAATCGACAGACTGGACGCATATCTACTACATATATGCTTGTCTCATATTATATCGTTTGTTTTACAACGTGTTGATTTCATGAACCTGGCCTAAACCTGGCTACATGTGTCTCTGGAAAGGCCATTTGTTCCATTGTCAAAGATATGTGTTAGCTCGGCACCAAATGCGTGTCAGTGGGAGCAAGGGCACAGCTGAATAGCACCGTCTTGAGATTCTAACAAATATCAACAAACCCTACTGCAGCCTTGATTGCTCTTATTGAGATTCACAAGATCCAAAAAAAATATGCCGAAGAGGAAGAGTTTCGATATGTTTCAATAAGATTACACAGAGACACAGAGTGCACAGTGCCACGGAGTTGCGACAAGAGACGCGAACAGCATGTGAGGGCTCTGTATGATCTGTACAAAAGGCGCTGCAGGTTGCAATGGTTGCAGGGTATCGTACGGATCAATCCCCTGGAACCTTCTGTGGCAAAAATCTAATGTTCACAAAAGCCGAATCTGGGAAAGTCACCTGGCAGTCAATAGCAATGTTCTCAAATGCTGTTGCATACGGACGGCTCCATGCTGTTGGTAGCTTGCATGAGAGAAGTAAAAGCCAGTGTTATAGCAGCAAGGCATTGTCACTTCACCCCTTACGCGGTGAATATAAAAAACATGACACATATATTTATATGATATTGTAATATATTGTATCTCATTTGAGGCTGGGATTCTTCACGCATCAGGCATCATTTTTCCACGACATGTCTTCCCACCGCCAGTCCCTGAGCGACGAAGAGACCGAGTACACTGGACAGCTGGCGCGAGGCTGGCACAGCCACGAAACGGTGTCCAGATCGTTCCCATGTGCACACCAGCTATGCGACATCATGTGGTAATATGATTGTAATATGTGGATATATGTGGTATGTTGTGGTACTAATTAAGATCCACTAAGTACTGTTTGCATCTTTTTGTATCTTGCAGTGGATCCCTGTATCAAGAAACGTGCAATCAGAATATCAGATACAAACACCATTTTTTGTATAATGTTGATTGGCAAATGAATCACAGGTGGCTACCCAACGGCCTCATCTTCATCCACCTTTGTGGTTCGAGAACAGGTGCAAATCAGCCCATACATCACACGTTTTTCTGACACAGAACTTTATTGTGTTATTGCGACTTTTTTCGCTCTCTCTTGATCATGATAAGATCCATAAGATTGGAGAGCGTTGCCGTAGCATGTGCAGACGAATCTCATGCGTACAGAGGCGCGTGATGGGAACTGCCTATTCCGCTCCTTCTCTGATCAGGCCTGTGCTCAGCTTGCTGGAAGATTCAAAACAAGAGTTGTTTCAATTTCTGGAAATAAAAGACAAATCCGAAATCATCAGAACAGAACACATCAGTTGTTATTCACAATATACTAGAAAACGCAAAGAGTTCTGTTGAGAGGTCTATGGATGCCCTGACTACCATGGGCTTCTGCGAGACAGGCAGCAACCAACGAGATCTGTCATCTATCTACACTTGAAGGGAGTAAGGTGGTAGAATGGATTTTTCATCGGGGATTCGATTCCACATATTCTGAGGTGCACCAAATACATCGCCAGCGAGCGAAATTACTTCGAACAATTTGTGGCAGAACCTTTTGAACAGCGCCTTGGCGGAGACACATGGTGACACTCAGCACATGCTAAGCACCGTGTCAACTTCCATCAGACGACCGAATCGACCTCCGGTGACGCCATGTGTCCGCTTCATCTCAGGTTTCTGGCGCGCATCCAGCGCGAAGGGGAGTGGGGTGATGATGTGGAGATTGAGGCTGACTGATACAGATGTGTGGTAGGGTCTCAGTCACTTCACGTCACATGTGCTCAAATGCCACTTGCTTTTCATTTCCCTGAAGCAATGATCTTTGATGCTTTAGGCTTTGTCAGAGATCTATGACTGCAGAGCGGGGTGCCTCAAAGAACCCCTCCTCTGATGCTGTGACTGAGCAACGTGCAACAACGGACCAATCTTGACGAATCAATCAGGAGCAGCAAGGGTTCAGCATCGGTTCAGCACTTGCAGCGTGCGTGAGGTTGAGATCTACGCAGCCTATGGCCACTCGTCCAGGGCTTAACCTTGGGAGCCTTGGAAATTGCCAGGGAAGATCAAGGTCTGTGCCATTTTGGCGGCATCTATCGGCTAAAGTTGACAGACGCTCCGACAAGAATTACTCTGCAAAAGAACAAGATGATTTGTGTTCTGTTGCGGCTAGCTTTGGAGGCCCTGATGCAGTACCTCACCTGGGGAAGCTGTATCACTTGCCAAACCTCTGAGGCTCATGCGAACTTTCCATGAGGCTTGCGATTCAAAATGGCCACAGCCTATCAGGCCTTGGCAGCAGTGGTGGGAAAGAAATGGAAAGAATGTGTGAGGAAAAACACGGGACCAGAGTGAGAGTTAGGCGTTTTCATGGAACATTTTGGACTCCACTTGCTTCGACAGCAGGTTTCTCTAACATGAGATGGTGGAATATGGTGGAACCATGGACCTATGGACCTTTCTGCGCAACGGCCGCAACGGCCGCGGTTCTTGCTGGTGCTTGACGCATCTTGACGCCAGGTTGCTCTATGAGGGTCAGGCGCACTACAATTCCCTGGCTCCTCGCAGTGATGTGCCCAGCGAAGCCGCGAAGCCCCACTTTGGGAAGCCGTCGGATTTCAGCGATGCAGCGATGGCACCAAGGCGGTCTGCGGCCGATCCTCCAGCTACGCCCAGGGGAGATGGAGGACTCATCGGCCCATGACAGAGTAGACTCGACAGTTTTGATTAACTTAAACAAATTTAAATCATCTTCTGCCGTGAAGATTTCATTGGAAGCAGACCTGACAGACAAAAGATCAGACAACTGTGTAAATCAAAAACGAGGTGACACAGATGAATGATCAAGTTTGTGTTCAACCAGGTTGGTTGATGCTGGTTGTGTGCACTTTCAGAAACATAGATGCCTCGGCGCAACCTTGTGAGGCTAAGTCGTCTAAGTGCCGGGTATACCGGTATACATGATACTGTACTAAACAATGTCACAAAGCACATCCATCATTAGTGACATCAGTTGCGAAATTACAATTCCCTGCTTCCAGGATGCTGCTATTAGCAGATCTCGACGGCGGAATGAGGCAAGCTGCACCTCTGTGGTTTAGCTGTGCGCTGCGGCTATGTCAATGGTATATGAAGATATCATAAGATCTATGATGTATGTATATATGTATATATATATATACACATACATATGATGTACACGCATATATATATATATTATATATTATATACATGTAAATATAACACGTACATATGTATATGTATATATATACACATATATATATATATATTTATGTATACATGTATATCTATTTTTATACGGATATAGTATAGCAGGCCGTGGACCCAATGGAACCCATCATGGCAGTCTGCAGACCTTGGAGCTGAGGCTGGCTTGCGACGTCCTGGAGCCAAGGAGCAGGATGCGCAACTTACAGAACAGGAGGCGCCAAGGGCCCAGCTGTAAGCAATTTGTAGTTACTGTATGTTAATGTCATGAAGAAAAAGAGCCGAACCCATCTGAAAGCACGATCCTCGACAAGGGAAATCAACTATAAAGTACTATTACGAAAGCCAGCTAGCTGGCTAGTTGCTGTTTGCGAACGAAGTGAGAATAGGGGGTGTGGGGGGGGTGGTTGCCGAAAGGGAACGAAATCTCGCCGTGCCCTTGTGTTGAGCGCCAGAAAACGGAGCATTTTGCTGGATTATGTACCACTAGGTAATTTGCTGACGGTGGGGTATCGATTCCCCCTAGGTCCGCCTTTTTGGTGGCCGGAGAGACCATGAGGATGTATTGGAAAATACAATGAAACTGCAGGAAAACATGATAACGATCAGAGGAAATCGTACAAAATCCCCTGGAAAACGGACGAAAACGGAGCGAATGCTAGGAACAAACCATGGAAAATCCCTTGGAAAATGGAGGAAACCGGAGCGTATGCTAGGCGCAAACCATGACGATGCAGTAAACATGCTGGAAAAATACAGTGAAAGTGCAGGAAAATGTGATAACAACGAGAGGAAATGGTGCAAAAAGGATCGGAAAATGAAGGAGACAGGGAAAACTCTTGGATTAATATTAATATTGAAAAGGTATGAAAATGCAGGAAACCAGAGGAAATGGTGCAAACACCTATGGAGGAAAGAGGTGAAAATGATAGGAAGCATGTAGTAAAAAAATGCTGGACAAAACATATTGAAAACCCACGAAGAGGATGTATTGGAAAATACAATGAAACTTGAGGAAAACATGATAAGAAAATGCTAGGAACAAACCATGCAAAATCTGTTGGAACATGGAGGAAACCGGAGTGAGTGCTAGGAACAAACTATGACGATGCAGTAAACATGTTGGAAAAAGATAGTGAAAGTGCAGGAAAATGCGATAACAACCAGAGGAAATGGTGCAAAAACGATCGGAAAAATCAAGGAGACGGATAAAACTCTTGGACAAATACATTGAAAATGCAGCAAACCAGAGGAAATGGTGCAAAAAGGAGACGGGTAAAAATCTGGGAAAAATAGATTAAAAATGCATGAATAGACTGAAAACCCACGAAGAGGATATAGAAACTGCAGGAAAACATGATAACAATCAGAGGAAATCGTGCAAAATCCACTGGAAAATGCTGGAAAGATACAGTGAAGGAAAATGTGCTAACAACCTGGCAGGAAAATGTGATAACAACCAGAATAAAGGGTGCAAAATCTGTTGGAACATGGAGGAAACCGGAGCGACTGCTAGGAACAAACGACGATGCAGTAAACATGCTGGAAAAATACAGTGAAAGTGCAGGAAAATGCGATAACAACCAGAGGAAATGGTGCAAAAACGATCGGAAACTGAAGGAGACGGGTAAAACTCTTGGAAAAATATATTGAAAATGCATGAAATGCAGGAAACGAGAGGAAATGGTACAAAAACCATAGAGGAAAGCGGTGAAAATGGTAGGAAGCATGTAATAAAAAAGCTGGACAAAACACAGTGAAAACCTACAAAAGAGAAGAAAGTAACCACAGGAAACGGTAGAAAAAGCAGTGAAAACTGGAAGAAAAGTTGTGACAATATTAGGAAAACGGTGTACAAGCTAGGAAATGCTTGTAACAACTAGAGGAAACGATGTAGAAAACAGTACAACATGGAGGACACGCGTGAACATGCTAGGAGGCATGTAACATGTTAGAAAAATACAGTGAAAACCAAGGAAAATGTTATATCTAAAAATGCTTTAAAAAATATAGTGAAAACCAAGACAATGTTAACGAACGGAAACGATGGAAAGACCAGTGGCGCGCAGGAAAATCTGCGAAAACGACGTTAAAAAAGAGGAAAAGTGTTGGAAATTGGTGGACAAAAATATAGCAATTTACAGACCTGCTTCCCCCCCCCGGGTTTCGAAAGTAGTGGCAGAAGTGTTGAGAACGCTAGGAAAATGTATTGCGACGAGTGCAAGTGGAGAACGTTAAAAGCTAGAGGGTTGGAGAAGTGGAGTGATCATGGTACCGAATGAAAGTAAGAGATGTGTTGGAGAGCAGCAGATCGGATGACTGTACCTCCGTTTGATTGGTGAATGGGACGTCTTTCCAAGGTGTGAAAGAACTGATAGATCACCTGGATAAAACATATTGAAACCCCACGAAGAGGATGTATTGGAAAATACAATGAAACTTGAGGCAAGCATGATAACGATCAGAGGAAAATGCTAGGAACAAACCATGGAAAATCTGTTGGAACATGGAGGAAACCGGAGCGACTGCTAGGAACAAACTATGACGATGCAGTAAACATGCTGGAAAAAGACAGTGAAAGTGCAGGAAAATGCGATAACAACCAGAGGAAATGGTGCAAAAACGATCGGAAAATGAAGGAGACGGGTAAAAATCTTGGAAAAATACATTGAAAATGCAGCAAACTAGAGGAAATGGTGCAAAAAGGAGACGGGTAATAATCTTGGAAAAATAGATTAAACATGCATGAATAGACTGAAAACCCACGAAGAGGATATAGAAACTGCAGGAAAACATGATAACAATCAGAGGAAATCGTGCAAAATCCACTGGAAAATGCTGGAAAGATACAGTGAAGGAAAATGTGATAACAACCAGAATAAAGGGTGCAAAATCTGTTGGAACATGGAGGAAACCGGAGCGACTGCTAGGAACAAACGACGATGCAGTAAACATGCTGGAAAAATACAGTGAAAGTGCAGGAAAATGCGATAACAACCAGAGGAAATGGTGCAAAAACGATCGGAAACTGAAGGAGACGGGTAAAACTCTTGGAAAAATATATTGAAAATGCATGAAATGCAGGAAACGAGAGGAAATGGTACAAAAAGCCATAGAGGAAAGCGGTGAAAATGGTAGGAAGCATGTAATAAAAAAAGCTGGACAAAACACAGTGAAAACCTACAAAAGAGAAGAAAGTAACCACAGGAAACGGTAGAAAAAGCAGTGGAAACTGGAAGAAAAGTTGTGACAATATTAGGAAAACGGTGTGCAAGCTAGGAAATGCTTGTAACAACTAGAGGAAACGATGTAGAAAACAGTACAACATGGAGGACACGCGTGAACATGCTAGGAGGCATGTAACATGTTAGAAAAATTACCAAAGCCAGCTAGCTGGCTAGTTGCTGTTTGCGAACGAAGTGAGAATAGGGGGTGTGGGGGGGGTGGTTGCCGAAAGGGAACGAAATCTCGCCGTGCCCCTGTGTTGAGCGCGAGAAAACATTTTGCTGGATTATGTACCACTAGGCAATTTGCTGACGGTGGGGTATCGATTCCCCCTAGGTCCGCCTTTTTGGTGGCCGGAGAGACCATGAGGATGTATTGGAACACAATGAAACTGCAGGAAAACATGACAACGATCAGAGGAAATCGTACAAAATCCCCTGGAAAACGGACGAAAACGGAGCGAATGCTAGGAACAAACCATGGAAAATCCCTTGGACAATGGAGGAAACCGGAGCGAATGCAAAAAGGATCGGAAAATGAAGGGGTAAGGTAAAACTCTTGGATTAATATTAATATTGAAAAGGTATGAAAATGCAGGAAACCAGAGGAAATGGTGCAAAAACCTATGGAGGAAAGAGGTGAAAATGATAGGAAACATGTAGTAAAAAAATGCTGGACAAAACATATTGAAAACCCACGAAGAGGATGTATTGGAAAATACAATGAAACTTGAGGAAAACATGATAACGACCAGAGGAAAATGCTAGGAACAAACCATGCAAAATCTGTTGGAACATGGAGGAAACCGGAGCAACTGCTAGGAACAAACTATGACGATGCAGTAAACATGTTGGAAAAAGACAGTGAAAGTCAAGGAAAATGCGATAACAACCAGAGGAAATGGTGCAAAAACGATCGGAAGAATCAAGGAGACGGGTAAAACTCTTGGAAAAATACATTGAAAATGCAGCAAACCAGAGGAAATGGTGCAAAAAGGAGACGGGTAAAAATCTTGGAAACATAGATTAAAAATGCATGAATAGACTGAAAACCCACGAAGAGGATATAGATGATATAGAAACTGCAGGAAAACATGATAACAATCAGAGGAAATCGTGCAAAATCCACTGGAAAATGCTGGAAAGATACAGTGAAGGAAAATGTGATAACAACCTGGCAGGAAAATGTGATAACAACCAGAATAAAGGGTGCAAAATCTGTTGGAACATGGAGGAAACCGGAGCGACTGCTAGGAACAAACGACGATGCAGTAAACATGCTGGAAAAATACAGTGAAAGTGTAGGAAAATGCGATAACAACCAGAGGAAATGGTGCAAAAACGATCGGAAACTGAAGGAGACGGGTAAAACTCTTGGAAAAATATATTGAAAATGCATGAAATGCAGGAAACGAGAGGAAATGGTACAAAAAACAATAGAGGAAAGCGGTGAAAATGGTAGGAAGCATGTAATAAAAAAAGCTGGACAAAACACAGTGAAAATCTACAAAAGAGAAGAAAGTAACCACAGGAAACGGTAGAAAAAGCAGTGGAAACTGGAAGAAAAGTTGTGACAATATTAGGAAAACGGTGTACAAGCTAGGAAATGCTTGTAACAACTAGAGGAATCGATGTAGAAAACAGTACAACATGGAGGACACGCGTGAACATGCTAGGAGGCATGTAACATGTTAGAAAAATACAGTGAAAACCTAGGAACATGTTATAACTAAAATTGCTTTAAAAATATAGTGAAAACCAAGACAATGTTAACGAGCGGAAACGTTGAGCAGGAAATCCGATTTGGTTTCTGTAGATAATGTTAGATGATGAGCAATGTAGTTTGGTGATAGGAAATAGTGGCTGACTCGCGTACAAGACATTGCCGTGAAACCTTGGAGCAAGATGCGGATGGTATAGGAAAAAAGATGTATGAGTTGTAAGATTTTAAGAGTTGCATGGGAAAATTGGTTTCATGGTAATCTGTGTGAAGTTAGAAAAGTGTGATTTCGTTCACAGAGTAAGAAAAATAAATACAATCTGCAGATTAGAGTATTTATAATGCTTAAAGTTGTTTGGCGTTTTTTGGTGCCTCCCTGATTCTGGTAGTTTTGTGATAAGAACTACAAAAACGATCTACTGGTAAACGGAAGGAATAGTCTTTCCGGTTTAGAACTGAGTCGACTGTCAAGTGATGCATAGGCTCCAGGCCTCTGGTTATTGTCACAAAGCATTGGAATGAAGATTGCGCCCAGGAGCCACCTAGGTTAGGAGACAAATGCTGTAATATCATTGTAAGAGGCCGTACTGAGAAGGCTGAAACAGAACTAAAAGTGAATCTTGTACTAAAACATCGAGAAAGAATTTGAATCTTCTAATGGCAATGACGGGAATGATATGCATCTGTACGTCCGTGATAGTATGTGTGCCTTTTAAAAGGGATGTTTGGCGAGTGTGATAGCTGAGAAGATTTTCCGGGATGCCAAACAATTATCTCTATCGATGTCAGGGATGATGCTATTCCGCGACATTTCCTGTAAAATACCTATTTTCCAGACCCTTGGGGGGTGGGGGGGGGGTACCCAGGTCTGTAAATGGCCTAAATATATATACTTTTGATTTGGACTGCATGTTCGCCACTGTTCTATATTTCCCGTGGGTTTTGCATTGTTTTCCTCGATTTTCATTCGTTCTTATACCCTTTCTTACGTATGTTATAATATTGTCTTGGGTTTGCACTGCCCATTTTGCGAGTAGAGCTATGTTTTGATTTCTCACCGTACGGCCAAAATGTTGCGGAACTTCGCGGAGAAGCATGGACCACGATTCTGGGGAGAAAACAATTTAGACTGTGAGAGGTCACATGACCACTGTTCACACAAAAAAACGGGTATTATTTATCTACAATAGGTGGGAGCAAACTTGCGCTGTTTTAAGATAAATGAGCAACCAAAGGCGGATTTACGGAACTTGAGATAGAACTTTTCACAATGCCGCAGTACATTGTAGGAAACATATTTGGATATAGAAGTTACAAAATCGTGGAGTTTACCCTAAAAAGGTCCATTTAATGATTGGAAAATTATGACCCGATAGCAATTGTTGATGTTGGGGCGCTTCATGTTTGAGCCATGCCATATGGATGAGGTGGAGTTTCACGCGCCCCCGCGCGAGTCAAAAAGCAAGCGCTGGCTTTCGTTCCACCCCTTCTCAGGTATGATAATCTGATATACTAGCACTATGCATATATGTATATATATATAACATTATATATCTGAACATCAGTGGAACTATGTGTAACTCAACAGATGGCAGACAGTTTGATCAGTTTCCAGCTGGCGAAGGTACTTGAAGAGTCCATCCGTCTGAGCCGCTTGGAATTCGAACACAAGTCCGAGGCACAGATGGCCCGGAGCCGCAGATGGCCATGGGAAATTCGACGCCTTGAGAAACACCTGGGTCAGATATGACTCAGATATGACTCAAATATGAACCACTTTGGACCACTGTAGACTGTAGTTCTGCAAGATGTCTGTATGGACTGAATCCTTGAATCCTTGAATCATTCTTGGTGACCCTCGACATGCACAAGGTACACTTTGAAAAAGGCAAGTAGTAGAAAAGTGAGAATCCTGAAGCTGAGGATATGGCGCTGCAAGATTCGCGAACTGAATGGGAAAAGTAAGGAGCTTAGTGTCATCTGTGAACAGTTCTTTTGGAGCTTCTGAAAATTTCTGGAGCCTGCTCTCTTCGCTCCAATTGTCAGCCGTGTGGTGAGTCCCACTGAATTTGAGCTCGGACATCCGATCATGGCTCGTACTGGGGCAGGTCGGAGCGGAAACGCATGGAGGAGGAAGTGGTCGATGCAATCTTGCAGCAATCGGTCTAGACCCCAGTCGCGCAACGACCAGGTGGTTCTCACGTTTGGAAATGTCAAGAGACGGTTGAGAGATGTGGGAATTTCTCATCGCATAGAAATGAAGAGTGTTCATGCATGTTCATGCCATGACTTGTACTGGTATGGGCTGTTTTAAAATGAAACAGTGTTCACTGCAGATTGAGCAGCAATGAACAAGGGTTTTCATGAGCATGCAGATGGACAATGGCCAGAAGCATCATGTAGCCTCCAGTCAGCGGTTCCTTCAGAGCATGCGCAGAGACTCAAAACGCAACGCGGAAAGAAAGTTGCCCATGTTTTCAACATCCCCACGCTGCAAGCTGAAATGAGTTTGCCGCATATTTCATGTCTTATTCTTTGACGTACCCAAGTTGGGGTTGTCGCACTGCATGTTGTCCAAGGTTCTAGAAGAGGAGCAAAAGCAAATGACTTTGGCAATGAAAGAGTCCAAGGAGGAGGTGATTCAGACCCAACCTGATTTCGCCGCGTTGTATGGCATGGCCACTCCCTTAGTGGGAAGATGGCTCAGGCTTTAACCAAAAGCATCCTTGCTTGATACATATGATATGAAAGGTGCAGAAAAAGTGCAGTTGTTCCTGTTCCTTTGCCTTTTGTGGGAACGACGGGCCTGCTAAATCAATGAGAGCTGTTTGAGGTGAATTCAGATATGGTCAGCTTCTCAGAGGGAGATGATGGGAGTTTTGTGAGTAGGGATGTGCAGTACCTAGCAGTACCTAGCACCCCGGAAACGGAGAGAGGATGGCTTCTGTAGCTTTCATCAGCTTGTCTTGAGCCTGCCAACCCTGGCCTGCGAGCTTGACAATGTACACCAAGGTGCAGGGCGCCTCCTCTTCTTCGGCTCACGATGACAAGAGGCTTACAGTGCTTACAGAGAAGCTACAAAGCGAGTCACAGCAAGTTCGTTGCTTTTAACATCTTTTAACTCAACGCATCTCAAAGCAGAGACTTATTGTGGTGGACACCCATGCACCGGCCAGGGACAGCCGAGACTTTCAATATCCTGAATCTGTCTATGCAGTTGTGGCCTCAAAACCTGTGCAGCGCCAGCTCCGCCATCGACTTTGATATGCTGTTTGTATTTTGCCTTGAAGGCATCGCAGCATGTAATCATAATATGAAACATATGATGTATTTTATATTATATATGTATTCTATATGAACTATTTTGCAGAGTTCGGAAAACATTTCAGTGAGCTCTTCATAGGTCTCTGGGCGAGAAGGAAACATGGCAACAATTTCGCAGAAAAAAATGCACACATGACTGATGAAATACTGACAGGTAATGTCGATGGGCTTTCCACTGGAAAAATGCATCCAGGCCGTGACCAGAGCAAGCTTGGTGTTTGGAGTTTCTTCAGGTTTGCCTTGGCCACATGGTCACACTTGACATAGAAAATTGTTGGAAGATGGATTGAGACAATGGATTATCGGATGATTATCGTTGTCATCATGTTGAAGCTATGTTTTCACGTTGACCTCACAGCGATCTCAGGCGTATCACCTCGTAGGTGACAATCCAGAGGGCATACTTCAATTCTGCTGCCAGACTTTAGGTCGCTGAGGCAGGACTCAGCTTGACAGGAGCTGCTGTGGCCCAGCTTGGCGATATCTGCAGTATTTGCGGTCTCAAGATTTAGGACCCCTACCTGTGGTTATATAATCAGTTGATCATAATTTCCGCAATAAACGTAGCCATTCCGAGGTATGCCGGTATGCCTGATTTTGAGACAAGCTTATTGGTGGAGAATGTAGGGTGACAAGTGAAGTAACACAGTCTGTCTTGTAAGTTCCCAGGAACTCCGGTTTCTAATTTCCTTTGTCACGTCTTGGAGACACTGACCATGGAAAGTTGAATTGTTTGCAGATCTTGTGCGCATCAGTGACACAACTGTCAACCAAACAAGCCTTTTTCGTTCAAATCATGACAAACAACCGCTGCTTCCAATTTTGCGTGGTCTGTGGGCGCTTCAGGCAGATGTGATAAATCCTGAAGGAAGCCAGAGAACACTTGACCTAAATGGGCGAAACTGTTCAAGCCAAAGTCTATGGTGTAGAATGGGCCTGCTGGCGTCTAACGCACTTGCAAGGAGTTGCAAGCCTCTGTTTTTTTCATAGCGTCCAAAGTAATTGCTCTCTGGTCATGAATTTTCTAGCTGCGGCCAGTTCGCAATCTTCCGAATGCCCGGAATGCCATGGCCAAGGGAGACCTCGTTGTTACATTTTGCACTTCAGATTGACAGCTTGAAGAGCAGCGTCTTCTTTTGAAAGTCATAGTCATAGCACTTGGAATGCTTGGTTGTCTCATCCTTAATTGTCCCAAGAAGGCCAGGGTTGCATGTTTGCGTGATGACCTGAAGATGTGCAGACGGGAACATCAGAGCCTCAAAGGCCTCAAAGTTTGCTTTCTATCCATGGACTTCTCAAACATCAAAAGTCAAATATAGCGCGCGAGTCCGCGAGTCTGCAATTTCAAGGTTTCGCGCGAACTTTTGGAGTCATAAAGAGAGACTTCAAAAGCTCTGCTGGCTGCTGGCTTGTGGCTTGACGGAGTCAGCTTGGAGTCAGCTTGGAGTGCTGAAGTTCAGCTGAGGGTGCTGAAGCTCAGCTGAGGGCCTAGGGTACGCTGGTGGTGGCAAACAGGCTACCCCCGAGTAGGTGGCATCCTTGAACTCTGCAATGCCCCGAGGTCTTTCAATTTGCCAATCGCTAATTAGCCAAGAAAGGCAGTTCCAATTGGCAAATTATTTGGTGTAATACTTGTGTGATACCTGGTTGCCAAGACAGTACAGAGTTCAATTTCGCTTGGAAGTGAGAAACACGGCGGATTGCTGGCAAGGTGGCTCATGTGCAAGTTCAGTTGTTGAACATCAAGGAAACTTCCAGGGTATTTTGCACCCCATGCTGCTTTGCAGTGATTAAGCAGGTAACATGATATATATATATAATTGGGCAAACTGATGCCGTCAGATAATACGGGCTAGTCATGTCCAGTCTAGTAGTCTAGTGGATCACCTTACCCCCAAACACAATAAATACATCTCATTGTCATCAATTTTCCATGATTTCCCTGTTACCTACTGGTGGGCTCGAGTGAGCTTCTTGATGTGCTCCTGGCTATGGCTGAGGAGGCTTTCAATTGTGTCGAGTCGCGAAGGGGCCGAATGGCAAAACCGCAGTTTGTCAACAGCAACAGGGCACGGAATGGCACCGGATGGCACCGGCAAATCAAATGTTGCTGTTGAGATTCTGCGCATTTTCCAAGAGCTGTACGAAGCATTCCGAGAAAATCTGAAATTCAACGATCTCCTGCTCTTTGCCAGGCACCAGATGGGGAGGATGAGGAGCTGGTCCGAGTCCTGATTTGTTCATGGAGGGCTTTTTTTTTTTGCGTTTTTTGTTTGTTTGTTTGTTTGTTTGTTTTTGTTTTCCACCCTGGCCTTCGGGCTTTTTTGTGGCTTCTGTGGCTTTTGTGGGTGTGTGGCTTTTGTGGCTTTACCATGCTTTACCTATATATCTATCTATCTAATCTAACCTAACCTAATCTAAGCTAATCTAATCTGATCTAATCTAATCTAATCTTATCTATCTAATCTATTTAATCTATCTAATCTATCTAAACTATCTATCAAATCTATGTAATCTATAATCTTTCTAATCTATCTAATCTATCGATCTAATCTATCTAATCTATCTAATCTAATCTAATCGAATCCAATCCAATCTAATCTAACCTATAATCTATCTAATCTATCTAATCCATCTAATCTATCTAATCTACCGATCGATCGATCGACCGACCGACCGATCCATCCATCCATCCATCCATCCATCCATCCATCCATCCATCTATCTATCTATATTTAGATACACACCTTGTATCCCTACATGTACCTTAATCCAACCCTCAACAGACTTTACATAGACCCTAAACCAACCCTAAATAGCCCTAAATAAACCCTAAAACAACCCTAAATAATCCCTAACCAATCCCTAAATGACCCTGGATAAACCCTAAACCAACCCTAAATGACCCTGGATAAACCCTAAACCAACACCAAATAGACCCTAAACCAATCCTAAATGACCCTGAACCAACCCTAAACCAACCCTAAATAAACCCTAAACCAACCAACACTATGATAGCATCCAATGCCATTATTTAGACCCAACATGGTTGTGCTTCAAAAATCGATGAACAGTGCAAATGGCAAATTTTAGCCCCAAAATTCAGCAAGTACAGGTTTTTGCCCCAAAATGTAGCAAATAGCAAGGAAAAGTGCCCCAGACTGAAAAACAAAAACAAATTAAAAAAACAAACAATTCTAAAAAACATTTGCACCCTTTGTTCATGATTCATGATGATATGAAAATACGATGTTGTTATAATAGACTATAACATGTTTTAACATGTATATTTGGTCATGATGATTCAGCTTTCCAGAAGATACACCTTTTTGCATTCCAAAAGAGTCAAGAGTCTCACCGACCTCATGTCGCTGTGCTGAGTTGCAGCGGAAGATCCACCTTTTCCAGTGTTGGAGCGTCCAAGAGTCTGGACCTCAGCGTGATGTTGCGACATTTGCGGAAATGTTTGCGGAAAAAATCACAAAACATAGTGATCAAAGGAAGTTTAGTAGAAAACTTCTGAATTACAAACGATGGTCATGGTTAGCAGTCACGCCATCATGTCACGCACATCATCATGTCAACCACTCATCATCAAGTAGTTGGGAAGTGTAAGAGTTCGGAAGCGCGTGAATTCATGGGTGAAACGTTCTCGGGCGCGAAGCCCATTGTTTTTTCGGGTAATGTGGCTCCTGGGGTCGCCGAAGTAGGGTCTCTGTTTCCGCGGTTCGCGGGCCTCGATCTGGGCAAACGGTCGACAAAAAGTGCACCGGACTGCACGAGACTGTATAGCGAGATTTTGATTTGCATTCAAATCGCCAGAAATCTGACAGGATCATAGCACTTTTGGAGGACGAGGTTTGCAAAATTCGTTGATTCATTGGTTCCTTGGTTCGTTGATTCGGTGGTTCCGTGATTCACTGATTCATTGATTCATTGATTCAGTGATTCATTTATTCGTTGGTTCATTGAATCATTGATGAATCCTTGGTGATTCCAGGGGTCATTGAATCTTCGAATCATTGGCTCATTGCTTCCTTGATTCAGTGATTCGTTGATTCACTGACTCATTGAGTCGTTGCACCATTGATTCATTGGTTCATTGATGTGTTGATTCACTGTTTCATTGTTCATTGCATTGTTGAATCATTGGTTCATTGGTTCGTTGATTCCGGGATTCACTGATTCATTGACTTGTTCATATGTTGATTCATTGCTCCACTGTTTCATTGATTCGTTGAATCCTTGATTCATTGCTTCATTCACTGAGCTGTGCATGGATTCTTTCATTTCATGGTTATCTCAACAACCAATTGCTCATTCCTTGATGAATCTTGATGCACCTCACAACTTCAATAATTCATGGTTTCTGCATCGCAAAAAAATCCTAAGTAATTAATTTCTTACAACCATTTCGTTTTTTCGAAACTTCCGCCTCAGCGCGGGCTGGGCACTACCTGGTAGCGTATGGACAACTCAGCAGATGTCCTGCATTTCATCCAGAGCCGAGGTCAATCAGCCGCTTTTGGTCCTTCTTGCGTTTGCAGGATGGAGTGCTCACCATGGATGGGTGCGCAGATTGCATGCTTCCACAAAACTGGTACAAATCCAGAACTATTTTTTTTTTCCACCCTGTCACCCAAATTGTTCGTTGCAATTCTCGGTCCTTTTGGAAAACAGTTTTGGACTTTCTCCTGCCTACTATATGTTTCTCTAAGACATGTGATGCACATGACGTAAATGCATGTAAATGCAGGTACATTGAACTCAACCTGGCCATGCAGAAAGCACTCGCAGAGGACAGGCTCCCCGGTAGTATTTTGATGCCACAACTGGCGAGACAAAACCCTAACGCTGCATTGGTTCTGCAAGTTGACGCAACCTGAACAACCGAAGGTTTCAGGGTAAAACGGGCAAAAATGCTAAAACAAATTGTTTTTGATTCTTTTTGTGCCCATACTTTTGGGCAAATTTGGCCAGACCTGGCGACGCCTACAGGACTTTTCGCTTGAACGGGCAGTAGACAGCGCTGTTGGCGACTGGAGCGAAGACGTGCAGCCGGGGCAGCAGGCAAAATACCAGTCACAAGTAGTCCCGAGGTAAAATCAATGCCAATGAAACTCCTTTTGTTCATTTTTGTTCTGCACACTTTGGGTTCAAATTGGGTTCATTCCAAAAGGGTTTTTCTTGGCGTGAGGCAATGACCGAAGAGGACTTCGCCATGTTCCTCTTTGAGCTTTGCACCCTGTGGTGTGGTCTGGGAGCCTTGCGGCATACGTGATTGATACAACGCGTTGCTACAAGCCCTTGGGACTGACCTCTCAGGTCCAAACGTCTCAGTGCACGTGTATTTGCTCTTCCTTTGTGCGGTGCGCTGCAATCAGTGTGCGGAAGTTTAGAGTTTGTCAAAGCGGATAGTAGATCTTGCAGACTAGTAAACAATCATCAAAAATCTAGGCACTGTCTGACAAGAACAGAAGTGACAGCTAAGACAGCCATTTTTTTGTGAAATTTTGCTCCAGGTTTTCATAGCAGTGACGGATCATTCTGGAGCGTTCACACTTGGACTCAGAAGACTCGAGGATGCGGTGGGAGATTCGCTCAGCGACCAGATATCTGTGCCCAACATTGGGGTAGCAATGGACCCATAGCTGGTCATTTGTTTGCATTAAACTGTTCCTTGTTAGTGGTTGATCTTTTTTTGACACACCCATAGACTGCAACTTTGAGACAGCTCCTGGCATGGTTGAACCATGTAGAAACGGGATTTCAGGATTTCTATTTCAGGCTAACATTCATCGTTCCTAAAGCTGGTTTCCTGGTTTCATTTAGCAGATGCAGCAAAAAAATCCGAACTTATAAATCAATACCAATCAATAGTGGGTCAAGACAAGGCCCCCACTTCCCAAACCTAAATTCAGCCCAAATTGATCTAAATTGGCATCGCAAGCTTGTGAGTAGCCCCTGTGTCCTCCATGCAAAACGTTGGCTTGCAGGATGTGGAACGACTTCCAGAAACTTTTTTTGAGCTCCTGAATCTGCAAGGTCTGTGGTTGATTTCATTGTAGATTCAAGTTTCTTGTTGGCACAGTTATTTTCAAGTTTCCAGTCGGATAGAAAGTGAAGCTGTCAAGCTGCCAGGTTGGTCTGAAAATCAATCAGAGGCCTTGCCACTGCACGACTGTGGAATGCATGACGAGAGTGGATGATTCTGAATCTTCATAAATCTCAAGATTGTCGTGTTTTTTTTGTCACGACGCAGTGTTTGTATCAAAATCAAGCCTTTTGCGGATGAAAGGAAGATGTACCTGCAGTGGAATGACACCCTTGTTGGTTTATGTTTGTTTGTGATAGTCACTGCCAGAGCACATTTCTTTTTGAAATAATGAGCCAGGCAACAACACTGGCGTCATGGTTGCATGATAATGTGGCAACAGAAGCGCAACAGGTGCACTTTGAACCATCGTGGACCCTTGCATTTGGCACTTGCTTGTGACTTCATCCATTGCTGCTGCGGTCTCAAACATGTTCAAACAATTTGTTGGAGAATTGTCAGGCTGCAGTGCAGCATGTGCAGCGGCAGGCATGACAGGGTGATCTCCAAAATTATATCCAACATAGGTGTGAGAAACGAATCAAGTTACAAAAGGAAATTCGTTCCATGGCAGCACTGCAATCTTGGTGGTGTGATGTAGCACCGAAATTAATGACACTGCTGTGCGCTCCAGCGCCCCAGCACTTAGATGTCTTTATCACTGCAATTTCAAAGAACCTTGATGGCTCACGAGACCACATGGCTCAGAAAATCCAGCGTCTGATTCATTTTTTTTGATTGCATAAGTTAAGGAATCGCTATTTGTCTGAGAAGGTTCACTCATTAAGATCTCATCCATCTCACGGGTTACACCGAAGGAGACTTCTGTACAGTGCGAAGCAAACTGTTTCTACCAGAAACGAAGTAACAGCCATGTTTTGCGCAAGCGTATGCAGTCCATGGAGACTTGTAGCTTTTCCCCGCTTGGTACAGGTGTTTCAGCTGACGCATGACGCGAGATCCGTGTTCCTCTTCCAGTTTGAGGAGCCGGTGCCATCAGAATCTCGGAGCTCAAGCACGTAAATTTTCTTGACAGCCAATCATGCACATAGCTGGACATAGCTGTATGCATGTGGGTTTGTCTATAGACCCTATACACCTTTCATATCCTCCAGTGTCACGCTGACAAAGAGTGTCTCAACATGTTTCAACCATGTTGCCGTTGCAGGATGCCCCACCTGGTGCACAGATGTTGGACTTGGTGAAAGCCTCAACCAAGCAACTCTCGAAGGCGGAGCGGCTCGTGGCAGGTTGCAGCGGTGCGTTGGAACTTTCAACGCTCTTACTCTGATTATCTCTGATTTATTTCTGTAATCACTCTCACATGGTTAACTTGCTTAGGAAGGACAAGAATCACAGCAACGAAATGGTTGTTGCGCATCAGAGATCCCTAGTAAGGCCCCTAATTTGGTACGGATGTCATCTTCTCAGGCGATTCTTCACGGTTTGCACATTGTGATGTATCCCACGGTATCCCGGATATATCTCAAGGTTGCACCTTTGACTGCTGCGGGATAACAGGGTTTCCATGCCCCTGCTTGCCCTGCTTCTATTTCCTCCAAGTTTGTTCTTCTTTGACAGATAAGCAAAACTACCTTGCCCACTGTGGTAGATGCGCCGGGTTCTTGGGAAGCCTTCGAGCAGATGCGGAACTTGCAGCCGAACTTTGGCTTTCTTGACTGGACAGTGGACAACCAGTTGCGAGAATCTCACTAATCGCCTCGGGTTCCCTCAAATTCTGAGGCCTCCAAAGCTGGGACTGCAGAAACCACAGGTGTCGCCACCGCAGGCTGCGATGGTTGGGCGTCAGTATGAGGTTTTTCACTCAGTGACGCTACGATGCAGGCAATTGGCACTCTAGCGTTGCCAAAGCACACTCGTCAGAGGCTCAGCAACTTTGTTGGGTAAGACACAAATAGACACAAATAGATTAAATAGATACAAATAGTATGAAGTATATGAAATGATATAAATGACTTCAAACACATGCGACGAAGTTGGTCCCTCAGGGATTGGAAGTCTATGCAGGATGTGCTCCATGCATTTTCCCAGGCTCGAAGAGCCAACCCACATGGCAAGGAACTCAAGAACGAGCTGAGAGATAAATAAAGTTTGTAATACAATGTAATATAGAGTCAAAAGAAGTCAAAAGGTCAATGTATCCATGGTATCTGTCTGGTTGTAAGGGAGGCGAGATGGAAGCTTGTTGAGCCTGTGCTCCACAATGTTCTGAATGAATTTGGTGAATCAAGATTCACCATGACACACCGTGCTCACGTGCAAGACCAAGGCCGGAGCCACGACCGCAGGCAACGGTCCCAGTCTTTTGGTGCCGCTGAAGCCGCTTTCTCTGACAACATTGTTGATGTTGATGATCTTGATTGTTGCTAAGTTTACTTGTTCTTACAGTTTCATAGTTTAAAAAAAAAAAACAGTTTTGACAGCAAATTTTGGCTCATTTGTGAGTGTAAAGGCATGACAACCACTGCCTCGTCAGCCTGCTTTATGGGGGGGAATGAATGGATTTACATGACATGTCAGATGGAAATCATGCCATTGCCCATTGTGTGCATTGTGTTCTGCATTGTTGCCATCTAACTGTACTAACTGTGGCTCATTTTCCTGGGAGGCTTTGCCCATCGGTCGCCTGTTCGATACCGAAGTGGTGCAGTACCAGGCTGTGCATGAAAGACTTCATCCACCGACGAGTATCAGTAACATCGAGTAGCCGCAAAAAACCAAAGACATTTCAAGGCCACTTTAAACTTGTCGAAGATAAACATAGATCATAGATATCATAGATATATGATCAACGTTGATAAACTGACTATTTTCAGCAAGTGGATTTGAGATTCTGAGGACTCCTTAGAGGCAGCTGAGAGGTGGAATGTGTGTTTGAGCACGGAGCACACCACGGCGCAGGGTCGGGGCTTGGGACTTGCTGGACAACAAGCGATTCTGGTGGGAGAGCAAAGACAACACGGACAGAGAGTCAAGTCAACATAGTAAATGTGAACTCAAGTGCACACATATCCACACATATCCATACATATCCCATATATATGTATATATATATAGGGTATTCTGGGGTCATAAGATGTCATAAAATGTGATAAAATCATCGAATTCCAGTGGATCCAGTGCCCCATCTGTGGCTTTCTGAGGCTGCTCGTCCCAATGTCCGTAGCATTGTGACTGCCAGCAGCGTGGCAACCGCGAAAGGCCGCCCCGGCCCATCCTCTATGTTGATCTATTTTGTTGATGCAGACGTGACCAAACATCACCAATGACGCAATATCAAGCAATATGCAAAACACTGAACATGATAATTATGAATAACTGTGTTGAAATTGGATATCAATCCCATTCATTATATCATAAATGAACTAGTACAATAGTATAAGAGCACAGTAATCTACAATCATAGATTTATAGCATTTTCTATCCTGCCATGCTTGCATAGGGGAGACCATCCCACTCGTCCCTTCCAGGCCTCGGTGCCATGCTGCGTGGCGTCTGGGCCATGGTGAAAATGATGGTAAAGTCCATGAGTTTTTGTTCCAACTGTTCCAACCACAATTTGGGACATGGACTTCGATGGACTGAGTGAATTTCTCACGCAGAGTGAATTTTGGAGTCCTTTTTCGAATGAGTTTCTTGCCGCAAAAAATGATTCAAACCGACTGCTGCTTCGCTGAGAACTCGTCAATGAGCAACCCGCCTGGACACCTGGAGTGCCCTGAGAAATGTAATATAGATGCTGGCGCTGATTGGATGAGCAATGCTTTCTGAATTTGTATCATTATCTGATCTTTGAACTTCTGCCAAATTGCGTACAACAAGCTGATCACTTGGTGACGTCTTGGTGGCATCTCTCCAGGTTGACAGATCTTGGACCGCGCCAGTACCTGAGTCCAACGTGGTGCCATGTCACATGTCATGGCCAAGTCAAGTGGGTGAAGCCGGTGAAGCGCAGAACTCGAGGCCACGAATGGGAGAGCGGCGAGTCTCAAGGCCACCAGATGCACTGAATGCAATGGATCTCAATTACCCGCGGAGTTGCCACACCAAGCACTTCGAAACATCTTCAAAACATCTTCAAAACATCTTCAAAAGCAACATCACAGGATCAACACCTGTTATTTGCATTTATTTGCCAGGTTACAGCATGCCAAGCATGCCAACAACAGCTCCAAGTAAACCTCCAACAGCACCAATCCACGAGTCCTTAGAGGCTGGTGCGAGTTGTTTCTTTGATATTTCTGGACACATTTGAATCAAAATTTGAGCATATTTGAGCCATTTTGGCAGAAGTTGTTGGAATGAAAGGTTCTGCCACAGATTTGTGGCATGTTGTATCATTTTGTGACCAAATGGTTTGTTTTCGGAGCGAGGTGCCCCACATGACGACAAGAGAGGCAAGGGCTGATCCCAAAATCTCCATAACTTATTGGGGATGCAAGCGATTCATACTGTGCATGGTGGATGCATGCTGCTTGAGACTGCTTTCAATGTCCATCCATGGAATATATGTTCTAAATACTTCACTCCATGCCAGAGATGTAAGACACCGATGGTCCCGATGGTCCTGGTTATGCAGGACACACAACAAGCATCTAAAAGCCAGTTTTTTTGATGTTGGTAGGGCATGCAAGTAACAAGGAAAATCCAGGACATGCGTTTGATGCGCACCTTTGAAACGGTGTGGGTGTTGCCGCAAGAAGGGTCTCCATCTTGCATCCAAAACAAATGGCTTTGAGCTCCATACTGCACTGAGCCCAAGGATTTTGAAGTGGAACCTGAAGAAGTTCAGGTTCGAAGACGAGCTCACGGCATCGGGTGTGAGATTGCTTAATGAATAGGAGACTCTCGTTGGACCCAACCTCACTGCCCTTGTGCACCAGCTTTGTGCTGAGGTTTTGCTTTTTTTTTTTGCCGGAGACACATCATGACGCATCATGACACATCATGACACATCCAACTCATCCATGAATCTTGGTACATCTCTTGATACATCTCCTTTTTCCAGAACTTGGCAAAGTTCTGGTTCCAGTCCCCACCTTCGAAGGAACCTTGCTCCACTTCCCATGTCATGAGTACCAACATCTCTTCACATTCTCCCACATTCTCCACAAAAGCAGGGCCAATTCCAAACTCTTAAGACATCATAAGACTCTTTCGGATATGTTTCGATATGTTTGTCTATGTTTCATGCTTTGGACGCATTTCATGATGTTGGCATGAAAAGGCAACTGCTTGTTCAAACTCCAGCGAGCCTTTGCAGGTCTCGGCTTTCCTCGAGGGTGCAGTGCTGCCGTGGCTCATCAAAATCATTTAATTGACCGGGCTGTTTCACATGTTATGTCATGAACATGGACACAGGTGCTGCTAGTAGGTTGCATGGACAGTGAAATGTCTGGTTTCTGCACATGCAAGTATTGGCCAAGGTCATACCAATTGCCTAAGAAACCTCCAGGGGTCTATCGCAATCAGGCGAGACTGGCTGACTGGCTGACTGGTTGAGCTTCTTGAACATTTTTTCTGGGGACACCTGGAAATCAGAGGAGGAAGGAACCAGGACTTGCAAAGAACGCGAGATGATGAATGATGAATGATGCTCTAGGCCCTAGAGCGTTAATCGTCCGAGCCTATAAGCAAGAACGAGGTTGGTCCATGGACGAATCTAATAAAGGTTGGCATCATGGGAGACCTGTGGTGCCCTTCAGTTTGTCTTTGGTTCTGACGCAAAGCAGAGAGTTTTTCGTGGCACTTGCAGACCGAGCCACTGATGAAGATGCGGCCTTCTTGCATGGTCTTTGAGGCGCAGAAATGGCAGGCCAGTACTGCATTGTAGCATCACATGGATATGTTTTGTCGGAGTTGCCTTTGAACTGAAAAGGCTACAAGTAAAGTTTAAGTAAAGATCAGTAAAGATTAAGTTTTATCATGTTGGATTTTTCTTTTTTGTTACGCTTTGTATACGCTTTGTATACGCTTGTTATGGGGTTCACGTGGCTTTCCATTTTGCAGTTCTGCGACTGGAGGCCAACACTGAGCTTCTTGCACCACCTTTTGATCGGGTGCTACGAAAACTTCCCCCAGATGCTGAGGGCTCAGGGATTCCCAGGGATTCCCGGGATCTCATGGCTCTCAAGCTCTGACTTGAAGGAACTCCAGACTCAATTTCTATCAATTTCTATCAATTTCTATCATTCTCATATTTCTTCATCCATAAAGGGCATGTGCATTCGCCGTCAGAACAGAAAGGCCGAATGCGGCAGAAGGCAAGATCATTGAAAGCTTACGAACGCCTTATATAAATTTATATAACAGTATAACATTACATAATCATTTCATCATTTCAGTGAAAAACCTCTCGCTGTTTGTCACAGCTATGGCCATGCCTTTTGATCTTGGAATCTTGACGAATCTTGTAGCTTGGTCCAAGGTGCGTCCTGGTCCAGGGAAAATGCCTCCGGGACCTTTGGCACATCCATCCGAGCCAGTCGGGCCACCCAGGGTATCCCAGGGTTAGATGTGAAAGTTGATCCTTTGATTCGGTCGATTTCAAGGATGCAACGATGGTGCAATGACGGTGCATTGCATCTCTAAGGTCTGGTTCAGAATGCAGCATCGCTTGGAGGCTGCGGGAAGAAGGAAAAGAATGGAACAGATACTATGAAAAGAATGGAAAAGATGTCACCCAAAAGAGTGCTGTTTGGAAGACACAGGATCAGCACTGACAAATGGGAGTCTCTCCATGTCTCTCCCGTGTGTTGATTCCAAGATGTCCCGTTTTTTTTTTTTTAAATGACATTTATGGCAGCTGCGGTCTCCACCATTCTGGACAGGTAATCCTCCGGAAGCAGGGACGCCGTGCAGAACGCCGCAGGAGACGATGCCATGATCCGCTCAGCCAGAAGGATAGCAGGAAGTTAGCAGTGGACGGGGCGCTACATACGCCCTGTTCACATTTTTCCATAGTTTGATGTGTTCTAGTTCATGTTCTCCCAAAATGTTGTGCATTTTGTGTACAGAACAAGTTGAGTTGCGGATCAAAGGGTGGAAGCTGTACCCATGGTGGAGAGCCTGGAAAGCTAGTGAAGCTCAGAAGATCTCAGAAGTCTGGCCATCCAATGTCTTGGCAACAAGGAAGCGCCGTTTGCGGCAGCGCATGTTTCATGGCAAACCACCAAAGCAGAGTCAAGGCGGGACGGCTGGGAGGAGGAATGCGACTTGTTGCACGTGTTTGCATTAATTATATGGCACTAGCGTTTGTCATATTTGAATCATTTTTGAATAATAATATATATATATATATATTATAATAATATATATATAATATTTTGATAAATTTTGATGCTGTCAATGTTTAATGATTCTAATGCGATTTCTGCTATGATTCTCTTGTGCAAAGTCATGTTCTGGTATCGCGCTTTGCACGCGGTTACTGTAAGCTCGGTGCCACTCACAGAGAGAACAGCTGCAACCTCCCTGCCGAGCGGATTGACTCGCACGTTCCCGGCAGGGATGTTCGGCTGGAGTTCCCGAATTTCTGGAACATTCAAAACATGTCCTCAAGAATGGCAACTATTCTATAAAATACATGAACATACATCAATATACTTAAAATATACTTGGATTTTGATGTCGAAGTCGATGCAGATGCGACGATTCTGTGCCTGTCGCAGTTGTTTTTCTTGGTTTTCATCAGGCCTTGGTCGTCAACTGCGGGAGTATTTGGACAGATCTTTTGCCCAGGAGGCAGGTGTGTGAGCAGGTTTAATGATATACAATATATATATATATAGATATTTAGGTGCCTACGGCAAGCCCGCCGGCCATAGCCTGTGCTTTTCTGTTAAGGTTCTTTGGTCTGTGTGTAAAAGGTTCTGTGTGTAAAAGCTTCGGTGTGTAAAAGCGCCTGTGTGTAAAAGCGTCTGTGAGTAAAAGCCTTTGTGTAGAAAAGCTGCGGTGTGTAAAAGCTTCTGTGTGCAAAAGGTTCTGTGTGTAGAAGCGTCTGTGTGTAAAAGTGCCTGTGTGTAAAAGCGCCTGTGTGTAAAGGTTCTGTGTGTAAAAGCTTCTGTGTGTAAAAGCTTCTGTGTGTAAAAGCGTTTGTGTGTAAAAGCTTCTGTGTGTAAAAGCTTCAAAGCTTCTGTGTGTAAAAGCGTCTATGTGGAAAAGGGTCTGTGTGTAAAAGCTCCTGTGTGTAAAAGCTTTGGTGTGTAAAAGCTTCCGCGTGTAAAATCGTCTGTGTGTAAAAGCGTCTGTGTGTAAATGTTTTTTGCCTGAATAATAGGCTGAATGCCATGTCATCCGTTTGTGTTATGGCTCAATTACCTTAAGGGTTTGAAGCTAGGGAATGCCCCAGCAGATCTGCAATAAGTGCAGGGCCCCCCCAGCGGCAGAAGGCGACACCTGGTGCCTAGGTTGCTCAGCTTGGGCATCCTTAGGCCGCGAGTTGTGCGGAAGTTGGGATTCCGCTGGCGCCAGGCTGCTGGCAAACGATCTTGTGATCACAGCCGCGCAGCAAACCAGGGCACTCAGGTCGCTGGCCGCTGGGCTCCTGAGAGCCGACGGGGCATCCCGGAGTGCTGGCCGCGCCGAGGCGGCCCCGCTCGGGAGGCTGACCGCAGGTCGTGCCTACCCAGAGAAGGTCAGAGGAGGAAGGAGGAGCAAGAAAGCGAGGAGGAAGAGGACGAAGAGTCCGACGAGGAGGAGGACAGACGCTCTAAGCGGAAGCGCAGCAGGTCTCCCCCACGTAGAGAAGGAGGCGGAGACAGGCGACTGCTGGAACCTGACGGACCACCACCGCCGGGCACAACACCGCTGGGGCGACGGTTAAGCCGAGCTGATACAGACAGGACAGCTGGCCATACCAAGAGGCACCACGACCGAGGTCATCGAGGACACCGTTCAACCAAAGGACACAACAAGCCGAAGAGAAGAGGAGGACGCAAGCACAAACGTCTTGCAAGACTGGCTGCTGACCCCACTAAGGTCTTGGGACCTGTCCCGGCTCGGCCGGTGAAGATGGCGAGATTCGTCGAAGGAGCAGAGTACGGCCTCCTCGACAAGGAGGCCTGGAGCGCCATTTTTCCGCGGCCAGGGATGGTGCTCGAGGTTCAGATGAAAGGGACAGACATATCCGTCCTCGAAGAGGAATGGGCGGCTTCTTCTTGACCAATGTAGAGGCCGACCTGGATGGTGCCTTCACCGTACAGGGGCACTTCATGGGTTGCGAAAGCCGCGACACTCACCAGCTTATCAGGGACGTGCTGGGACCAGGTCAGGTCAACCTGCACATTTGCAGCAGCACCCCCTGTATGGATATGAGTGCGGACGATCGTGCTGGCCCCGCCTTGCACGTGACTCTGTTGCGGCTATGGCAACATCGGAACTTCGAGGCCGACTATGTGGACGCCCACGTCGAGGAGTCTATGAAAGAATGTGTGGCAGCTGTAGAAAAGAGAGAACGTGCCAAGCGAAAGACAAGGAAAGGGAAGGATGTACCAGAGAAACCTGCCAGAGCTCCTCGACCAGGGGAATCAAAAGCCAAGCCCAAACCTGGGGCTACCAAAGAGAAAAAGAAAAAGGTGACAGAAGAGGAGAAGGAGAAGGAGATTACCGACGATCAGAAACTCAAGCTTCGAGAAAGGCTGAAAGATGTGAGAAGAGCCCATCATGCAGCACTTGGGGGGGCCACAGTGACCCACCATGTGCCGTCAGGCTCGGAAGAGGATGGGCCAGATGGCGAGGAGGATGCCAGTACAGACTATGCGCCTACAGAGCCCCTAGACACTGGGACCAAACTCAAGAAGAGGGACCGTGGTCGAGCCTTGAAAGACCACGAGAAAAGTCGAGGAGCGATAGTCCCGTACAAGGGCACAAAAGAAGCTACTATGAAGATCCCCCACCCCTTAAAATGTATGAAGAGGGGGGGGTACCCGGGAATTTTTCATACATTTCCAGGCCCCCCCCCACTCTGAAACGGGTATTTTTGTATGAACTTTTGTTTGTAAAATTGAGAGGTTACCTAAAGAGGTGGGGGGTGGTCCTCATACATTTTCAGTATTTGGCTTCAAAAGCTTGCTTAGAAAAAGGTGGGGAGGCGGTTTCATACATTGATTTTGCAAGGCCATGGATGTTTGATGCTCATGGAGTTTTCCTGGGGAGTCTTACGAAATAGCACGACGCTTTTGAGCCCCCCCTGAAATCTAAGTTTGCCAAATCATGGGAGGCCACCTACCCCCCCTGGGTTAATACATTAATACTTCCCAAGTTTGGAGGGGGGGGCGAAATTTGGAAGGGGGGGGCGCAGATGAAGTATCATGAATGTATGGACCTGGGGGGTCAGCAGCAGTTCCATGCCGCACATTCATTATACATGAAGGTTGTCTTGAGAAGCCTACATGTACTAAATGCAATAGTATGCAGTAGTTGTAGGAAATTCTCCCAGCAAGGTACTGGGGGTAGGACAGGAAGGGGGAAGGCTCATGGCGGCAGCCTCGTCGAGGCTCATGGCGGCATTCTCCATGACACGAGCGCAGGGTGCACAATCTGGATTCGGTTCCTGTGCCAAGCCGATGAAAATGCAAAAATTCCGCCAATGGTGCTTCTTCAACGTCCAGTTGTGTTGCGGGTGGAACTCCTTGTGAAAAGAGATCTCGAGGTGCTCTAAACGCTTCTCCCCCACAGCCTCCAGCTTGATGAGATGGGACGCTGCTTTAGTTGGCCCGAGGCCCTCCACCACGTCCTGCAGTATAAATTCAGAAAAGGGATTCAGAAAGGGAATAGTGTGGTCGATAGGCATGGAGGGCCCTCTGGCTCATACACTTGTAAGATATCGTGAGACTTTGTCAGAATCTTGGAAAACACTTCCCTGCTCCCAGTAATGTATGGCTGCACTGATGTGCAGGTCCCCCCCCCATTTCAGACATTTTATTCACATGCTCTGGGGTGTGTTGGCATGCGTTGCCATTCTCCCCACAACTAGATACTATTGGAACCACCACGAACCACCTGAAACCACCTGGAAACTACACTACCTTGGAACCTCCTGGAACCTATACGACCCTAGGATTCTCCTGGATGTGCCCTACCCCTAGTACCTGAAACGTATGGCTGCACTGGTGTGCAGGTCCCCCCCCGCTTTCATACATTTTATTCCCATGCTCTGGGCTGTGTTGGCGTGCGTTGCCATTCTCCATACTGGTGGATACTATTGGAACCACCTGGAGCCATGTGGAACTCCTAGGATTCTCCTGGATGTGCATGGCTGCACTGGTGTGCAGGTCCCCCCCCTTTCATACATTTTATTTAGAACCTCCTGGAACCTATACGACCCTAGGATTCTCCTGGATGTGCCGTGCCCTGCTCCTTGGCGATCAAGCACAGAAAGCAAATCTTCCAGTTGGGGAATCGTAGCCACTGTGCGCAATGGCACCCAAGAAGCTGGACCAAGAAGAGGTTCTGCGCGCCTTCCGCGCCTGCCCAGACTTGGCGGCACGCAAATTCCAGCAGCTCCTTCCACATGTGTTTCAAGCCGTGGGGCCGTTGGCTGATGCTTTGTGCGTGACATGGTCGCCAGCACTTTAGTATCAAAACATCTGGCAGACCGCGCGTGCCAGGCACAGTCTGTGTGCAGAGACTATGGCTGCACTGGTGTGCAGGTCCCCCTCCCTTTCATACATTTTATTCCCATGCTCTGGGCTTTCTCCATACTGGTGGATACTATTGGAACCACCACGAACCACCACGAACCACCTGAAACCATCTGGAAACTACACTACCCTAGAACCTCCTGGAACCTATACGACCGTAGGATTCTCCTGGATGTGCCCTGCTCCTTGGCGATCAAGCACAGAAAGCAAATCTTCCAGCTGGGGAATCGTAGCCACTGTGCGCAATGGCACCCAAGAAGCTGGACCAAGAAGAGGTTCTGCGCGCCTTCCGCGCCTGCCCAGACTTGGCGACACGCAAATTCCAGCAGCTCCTTCCACATGTGTTTCAAGCCGTGGGGCCGTTGGCTGATGCTTTGTGCGTGACATGGTCGCTAGCACCTTAGTATCAAAACATCTGGCAGACCGCGCGTGCCAGGCACAGTCTGTGTGCAGAGACTATGGCTGCACTGGTGTGCAGGTCCCCCCCCCGTTTCATACATTTTATTCCCATGCTCTGGGGTCTGTTGGCATGCGTTGCCATTCTCCCCACAACTAGATACTATTGGAACCACCACGAACCACCACGAACCACCTGAAACCATCTGGAAACTACACTACCCTAGAACCTCCTGGAACCTATACGACCCTAGGATTCTCCTGGATGTGCCCTGCTCCTTGGCGATCAAGCACAGAAAGCAAATCTTCCAGTTGGGTTCCAGCAGCTCCTTCCACATGTGTTTCAAGCCGTGGGGCCGTTGGCTGATGCTTTGTGCGTGACATGGTCGCTAGCACCTTAGTATCAAAACATCTGGCAGACCGCGCGTGCCAGGCACAGTCTGTGTGCAGAGACTATGGCCAGGTCCCCCCCCCTTTCATACATTTTATTCCCATTCTCTGTGCTGTGTTGGCATGCGTTGCCATTCTCCATACTGGTGGATACTATTGGAACCACCTGGAACCATGTGGAACTCCTAGGATTCTCCTGGATGTGCCCTACCCCCAGTACCTGAAATGAAGTAGTAGTATGGGATCGAGGATCGAGGATCGAGAATCGAGAATCGAGAAGCGGGAAGCGAGGATCGAGGATCGTGGATCGAGGAT